GCCCTCCTTGTGTTCTTTTAACATCGCATGGGTACCATTCAGCAATAATCTGCTTTGTCGTCTGTCATTTCTGCCATATGATCAGTTTTAGCTCTTCTTCCTGACGTACACTGCTTTGATAATATATCACTTACATCAAGCCGGAACTGCGATGCATTACTGGGGATGATTCGTTGTTTTTACTTTTTTCAATCTTTTTTTTTTTTTGCCTTCGCTCGAGCGTGGTATTCCATGTTTCGCTTCCATACAACAGAACTGATAAAATTCATAAAATTCGCTGAACTTAGAGAGTGTAAGTTCTGAACACAACGCAAAATCATTGAGGACAAACAATTTCGTCCACATTTTTTTTCTCAAATTACAGCACCCGTTAAAAATTTGGATTTCAAATTGTTAAAAGAACACAAGGAAGGCCACCACAGTGCGGTGGAAAAGTCCCTTGAACGGCTACTTGAAATTTTGTGGATGAGAGCTCAAAACAGAGAAGAATGGAGAAGTTGCCAGTTACTGTAGTGGAACTTGAAGCTAATTTTAGGCTTTTTATTTCGATTAATCTTCTGGAACTGTAACACTGCTTTATTTATGGATTTTGCAGCTCGACAAAAAGATAGGCTTGGAAATTCAGATGTTGGGCTTACGTTTATAATTCTGTACGGAGCTGTGAATTTTATACGACACCCCACTACCTCTGCCTCCAGCATTGTGGTTTTTTGCTCGTATCTCCCCTTGTCAGAAACTATACCCGCCTGATTTCCGTGAAAACCCGAGAAATAAGCCGCCACATTTACCCCGGAAGTAACAATAGACGGCACAGGATCAAAGTGACCAGTGGTGCACTGCTGAGTAGTAACATGTCACGATTCGAAGGATCCGGAAATGAGGTAAATGAGAGGTCAAATTTTCTCCCATCTCAAACTCCGGAGGTTCCAATCTTTCCATGAAAACTGATTGCCTTTTGTCTCAAAATGAGAATTTTTGCTCGGATCTCTTCGATCTCAGTACTACTACTACTACTCATTTGCAAAGTGGCCCCATTTTATGGGGCTGAGCAGTGCTAAGATAAGCCTGGGACATCGCTGTCAACCCTGCCACTTTGTGGGGTATTTTTAAAAAAACTTGTTAACGACCTTCGAGCAAAAGATAACTTTATCATTAAAAAACAATCATTTTCTGTTAGAAATCCCAAACCACAACAGAATTTCTTCGAAAAAAAAACAAGCAGGCAGAACAGTTTAACGCAAAAATCCCATCAAATTCCACTCAGTTACCATCGAACTTTACGATGGCATCTGAGAAAAAAAACCCTATCAAATCCCTTCCATTTGTGTACCACATATTACGATGATATGCAAAAATGCCGCAGTTCGTCCGTCTAAATTTAAACAGAATCGTTTAGTCGGTAAAAACCATGGGAAGAGGGGCTGGGGGTACACCATTAAAGTGTGAAATGATAGGTCTGGGACAAAATGCCACTTCATGAGAGATGTCCCAACCCTTTTTCAGTTCCACTACAACCAAAAAAACACATTTCCTTTAAAATTCCAACTTCTTAGCTTTTGTGCTTCCCTAGTTAATCGTTTCGGCGCCAAAACATCTATGTGGCCATGCACGAGACCTAGGTGTACATGACAGCTGAATTCAAATTTGCAGAGTCACATTCGGGCGCAGCGAACATTTTCCTAAAATTTCAACTTCCTAGCTTCCTTGGCTTTCGAACTGAAAAAAACCTCTGGGCAAGATGAATGCGTACATATAAGGTCGTGACAATATGCGTTTTGTGCACCTGTTGCGCAGCAAGAACAGATCAAAATGCTTCGTCCACGAAAACGATTAATGCTAAAAGGATCTGGACACGGATTAAGAGAGCCCAAGTATGCCGTGGTAATTCCTTCTGATTCCAAGGAAATCTTGTTAAAACGAACCTCACCCCTCAAAAAAGTCCTGTTCGCGCTCCATCTGCTTTAGAGTGAAAAGCCTGCCAAAGATGTTGCCGAAATATCACAAACATTGAAACGAAAACTTTTTGAAAAAATAGCATAACAAACACCATACGTGGAAGAATGTTTTAAAATAACTCAACAAACATTCAAAAGAAGGATGAGTTTTTTTTTTTTTTTAAAAAAAAGCATGAAAATATCACTTAAACCGAAGAAAATAATACTTTTTAACACCGTTCACGCATAATATGCCAAAAACAACACATTTTACCTCAAAAAAATGTTTTTTTTTTTTCTATTTTTCTGGTATATGTTACCAATCGGAGTACACCAGTGTGCTTCCGTCTCTCTCGTAAAGAACAAATGGGGAGGGGCTTTTGGCTCAACTTTTTTTTTTTGAAATTTATAACGTTTTTTTCCCCTGAGTAACAGAGAACATATTTTCGAAAATCGATTTTTTTTACAAAATATGGTCTAAAACTACTGTCTTTGCCATTTCAGTGTAGCGTTATGCCAAAAATTTCAATAATTTTTTGACCAATAACAAAATTTTTTTTTGATTTTTATACTTTTTGTTGCTTCTTGGAAAAATCCATGTTAATCAATAACTTAATAAAGCTCCTATTTTTTTAAGCTAATGATGGAATAACAGTTAAAAGTGCCATAACCCTATGAAATCTTCTTCTCGATATCTCTATATCACAATTCAGTAAATTCTCAAAAACCTTATACGATAATAAGGATCTGGAGCGATTTTTAACGGCTTGTGAAAACATCCAAAATAATATGAATAGCATGGAATAACCACACTGATTGTCCGGAAGGTCCTGGTATTCCTGGTACGACGATTACGGGCTTTTGTTACGAAAAAATGCATGAGTATGGAGGAATTTAACAACCTAGAAAGCAGTAAATGTCCATTCCAGGAAAAAAAAGGGGGAGAGGGAAAAGAATTTATAAAGGACTGCCAGCAGGCTAATCAGACAAATATCACGCGACGACTGATGGCGTTGTTATGAGAAAGATTGATCGTCAAAAAAAAAAAAAAAAAACGTAAAAATTATGTAAAAGCCATAAGGGAAGTGAACCATGACTTCATGAAAATATCGATTCATCAGGGCGAAACGATCGCTGATCTATGAATATAAGGAAACAAATTGTGTAGGAATCCTCGTATGTACGGTAGAAATCCTCATCTCATCCTCGTCTAGCAGTGACAGCGTTCCAGACAAGGCGGTGATGCTCAAAACAGATCGCCGACTAACCCCCGCTCCCACCCCAGGCAGGTGCTCCTGCTAGAAGCAGTTTTTTCAGGAAACGAAATGAATGTTAAGGTGATGCAGCACTGGTCAAAGCAACTGGAAAAGTTGTAATAAGCTATCCAAGCTGGGAAGGCAGGCTATAAATTACAACAACTATGCGTCACAAAAAAAAAAAGAGATTTACTGTCTTTGCTATCTGAAAAATCAGCCCGAAAAAAGTGGGAAGAAAAAAACACAGAGAATAAATAGATTTCCCAATACAAAAACACTTTTGCGATGTGCTAATGCTACTCTGAGAGTGAGCGAGCAATCATGTTATCAGATTTTTGAACTCAAATTATCTCTATGAAAAAGACAGGTATTAGGGTCGTTCGAAATCCTCACTGAATCGCGTTCCCATGATTTTCAAACGATCTGAAAATTCTGAACGATCCAAATACTTATACAGGAAATCCTTCGCTTCCCCCCTTTCCCCACCACCCCCATACAGCCTCATCCCATGCTTATCCCCCCCTCCCCTT